ACTGTATACATAGAGACAGACTGAGACATACAAGAGCTCAAATATTGCTTAAATAGAAAGAAAGAGACAGACAAATATCATTTATTTATTACACACAACAAACCGACCGATCTCAGATGCCCATGAGATGATGCGACTGCATTTGAATGTTGAATGCGACCGATAACTTTTCCATATTAAATTGGTTTAGAGATGGATGATCTTTAACTGTTATTATTACCATTCATTTTAAATTATTCGGAGTTAGTAATTACATTTCCATTTGAGAAGCATCATTGTTTTCAATGTAAATATATTCTAGCGAACTGTATACATCAGCAAAATGACAAAGGATAGAAGTAGCAGAATTAAAAATACACAATAAATTATGGTACATTTTGGATTCAGAATATAAGTTATTAAAAAGATATAGTAAAATTTAATCTAAAAAACATAATATATAATGAAATTGAAGGCCACAAGGGAAAAAGGAGGAATGTCACAACTTATAATAAACATTACATAGTAATATTGCAACAAAAAATAGTTTTTTTTCTTTACCAAATAAGTAAAATAATAAAAAAAAACGTATTATCCACGGTAAAAACAGGGAATGTCTCTACATTAATAAAATATACAATAGAAAACGAGGAATGTCCTAAAATAAAACCTGAATTTTAATAACATAAATGGGGAATGTCTAGTCACATCGGACTGTTATTTTCCTTCTTGCTTTTCTTTTCTTGTTTTTTTTGTCAGAATAAGGTAATTTATCGTAGTATTGTTGAGTTTCTTCGGAGCACAACTTTTTCAGATGTTGCAAATCTTGAAACTTATCAGTAGATATAGGTAGAAAACCTTAAAAAAATAGATTCATGGCGTTAGGAGTAAACAATTATTAGAAAGTTAAATAATCTTACCTTCATACTTGCGGTCAGGATACAAAAATTCGTGCTTGTTTAATTCTGGATTTATCCTTTTCTGTTTGGGGGTAATATAATTTTTTGCGAAATCCATACAAATGGCTTCAGTTTCACCATCTTTTTGACATTGAATTTTCAAAGCACGCTTTCTATCGTAAAATACCTGCGTTTTTTTTATGTAGCATATTTTCGTTTTCTAATGTTTGTAAAGATTTTTGTAAATTAATAGTAACTTCAGGAGATCCTGTAATCTTAAGTTTTAGCGTTAAGTCTTTTTAGTAGCAGTATATTGATAGCAAGCACTACAGGTATCTTTACGTGGATAACCAAAAGCAATGTTAAATTTTGTACTAAATGTCTTCCTGTAAAATTCGTATGAAACTGGTTGATCTGGATATGTTTCACCATACAATTTATACATTTTTGCAATGTTAAGGTCTTCACTTAAATATAGGCGATCTGTTTTTTTAAGGCTATAGTGACTTTTAAATCCTTTAAATGATCGTATGTGACTTTCTACACTTTCAATGGTCTCTTCAGACTTTTTTGTAGGCCGATTTGAATGCTCACCTCTTAAATCGGTAGGATAAGTACCTGTTGCTTTCAAAGATTTTTGTAGGTACTCCATTTTCCTTTTAGTAATGCCATGTGTGGATAAAAAAGCCTTATAACATTAGATTAGATTAGATTAGATTAGATTAGATTAGATTAGATTAGGAGTTGGACGTTATTTGTCCTTGTCCACCGCGACCTTTTCAGATCTATTGTGGGACTCCGTTTGTTTTAGAGTATGTCGTCTAGCCTGGTCTTTTTTATTAGACTTAGTAGCTTTGACAGTGGCTCCCGCATGTAGTTGCATGCAATTGGCTTTTCTTCGCCCAATGTTAGAAACCTCATTCCAGCCAAGCCTTCACATTGGCACAGGACGTGGAATGATGTTTCCTCTTCTTCTTCACAGAACCTGCACAAAGTTGCTTCTTCTGCTGGATTTATGACACTCATGTGCCTTTTGAGGCGAGAGTGTCCAGTAAGAAGGCCTACTGTTATCCTAACGATTTGACGTTTTTGATCCAGTAGGTCTTTCGTAAACTTGGCCGATGGTTCCTTGATGAACTGTTTGGCCTGTCTCAGTCTTGGATAGTTGTTCCACCATTCCTGAGACTCTTTTTGCATCCATTGTTTAATGGATGCCTTGCACAGTGCCTTAGCGACTCCACAAAAGGGTTCAGGGCCTGTCATGGCCTTATCTGAGCCTTCTCGGGCTAATTCGTCGGCCTTTTCGTTGCCCTGATATCCCTCATGGCCTGGAACCCAGGCTAAGGTCACCTTATTTTGACTACTTAGCTCTGTCAGGTCTTCTAGACAGTCTTTCACCAGTCGTGATTTGATTTCTGGTGAGAGAATTGCCTTTAGAGCTGCTTGGCTATCAGAGTATATGGCAATAGTTTTGCCTGATACTTGCTGATTTAATATTTCTCTTGCACAGTGTTGTATGGCTATTAGCTCAGCCTGGAACACTGTTGCATATTTTCCTAAGCTTAGTGAAATCGTTGATTTCGACTTAGGTCCATAGATTCCAGCACCGGCTCCTTCCTTGGTTTTTGAACCGTCTGTGTACCAGACGAGTTCAGCCTGTACGGGAGGTCCCTGTTTCCAGGATTCTCGGGCTGGTATTTGAATTTGAAAATTTCTTTCAAATTTGTATGTGGTTATGGCTCTATCAGTAGGCATAGCTAGAATATTATCCCTTTGTACTTGCTGATATAGCCTTGTGTGGTCGGCGCTATGTAGTTGGCTTATTGGGTTTTGTATTATAACATACAGGTATCTCCAAAATATCTGCGTCCCTTTTAATTTTGACATGATATGAATAAGACTTCTCGTGCAGTAATGCGGTATCTTCAGATTTTCGTAGACGTCTTCGTTGGATAGTCTTACATGATATTAGTCCACATACGTATAAATTTTGTTGGGTAGCTGAATTCAGTTGATTAAAGTTGTTTAAAATGGCTTGTCTTTCTTTAATAGTGGTTTTTTGAAAACACTTTAGTCTCTTACACAGACAATCGTCCCCTAATTCATGAGTCGTTAACTTTAGTTTTTTATTAACATCTCGAAGTCGCCCATGACTTGATCTTTTCCTAAACTTCCTAATATTTAATACTTCGCTCTGCTGTTCTTCTAATTCTGCCATTTTTCTATTTATTTAGGTATATTAAAACAGGCACTGACTTGAAAAAAATTCAACAAAACGTGTGACACGTCCAAACAACTAAATGATACGGTCTTTAAAAGTTTACGATAATAGCGATCGAATACAAAACTTGGACATTTCCCCTTTATACTATTTTTAATGTGGACATTCCTCGTTATTCCCCTGTGCCTGATATTTAGAATCACTAATATTAGGTGACTATACTAGCTTCTTGTCTTGGAGGTTTGGTTATAATAAAATATCGGCATTTAGCTAAAAGATAGCGGTATCAGCTCAATTTTTGATATATTGTGACATTCCCCCTTTTTACCTTGTGGTCTTCAATTATTAAAATTTAAAATCTAAAAAATTAAATCTATAATCAAAAAATATAATCTGTAACATAAAAAATATATTCTAATAACTCTTATTTGGTGATTCGCACCTTATCGAAACTGAGACCATACGGGCAAACTCGTAGCATAAAATAAACAAGAAACAATTTGATTTTGAAAGAAAGACCAGAAGACGACTATCTAGATGTTGATTTTCAGGTTTGTGAAGCATTGGCGTTACTTAGGCAAATTCAAATATCGATGGTTAAAGTGCAAAAGTCGATTTTGGTGATTTATGTAGAAACTTTATACAGAAACTCGGTAATCAAATTATTATTAGTATTAAAACTAGTAATATAACTGTTGAGGTTTTGCAGCTTAAAAATATCTGCAATTTGCCAGCTTTTCCAATCAAAAACACACAAATCACAAAATCGACTAACAAGTTTCTGTACTTTAACCATCGATATGGTATCTTTATATTACTAGCCCTGGTTTTTAAGAACTATTTATGTAAAAATATGTCGGCCCTTTACCTCTTAAGTCTACTTTTGTAAAACTATTTGCCCCTTAAGCCTACCTTTTTCAATAGCTATTTGTTTATTAAGAACAGATAGTAGCACTTTGGCAGTTGAGACAGAAAGTTTCCGAAACTGCCAAAGGACTTCCTGCTCGAATTACATACAAGATTTTTTCTACAATCACAACAAAATAAAATAAATATTTTAATTTTATTAGCCATTCCAACGACCTGTCAAACGATAGCTGCCAGTGGGAAGGTCTGGTATATTTGAGGGGGTACTGACATAGTCTTGCATCTTGGTCGCTTTTTTTATTCGAAATAATACTCGCCAAGCCTGTTAATTTAGGGAAAAATGTAAAAGTTTTTTTTTTTAATATTTTTATTGTGTTTGACATAAAATATTTAAATGTAATCCATTTTTCATGATTTTACGTATTGAAGACAGAATGTATCGTAAGTGACAACCCTTAGATATCGTTACCCTAATTAGCAAACCTCGTAACTCCAAAACACCTAACTCTTCAGGAGCTTAACAAAACATGTTTATAATTTTATGTACTCTTAATAATATTTAAAAATACGATAAATTACTTTTTTTACATTGATTTCTAACTTTGTTAAAGAAGAAAACCATTTTGTACAACAGGAACTTTTTTTTTGGAGTTAATAGTTTTTATTTATATTTTTGTTGGAGATACGAGTTTCTCTTTATAAGTAATTAAATCCTAATGAGTAGAATTGGTGTGGTAATTTTAAGAAAACAAAATTTACATCTCAAAACAAATGACATTTTAATTACATTATAAAAATATATTAGTTAATTAACCAAGTTCTACTGTACTGTGTCCAAAACCATTGTTTAAGTACTTATATAAACAGAATATTTTAATAAAACTCGTGGTAATCTCTCGCCAGATTTGATTTCATATCTTGCAGCTCTTTATATTTTCTTCGTTTTATTGCCAGCCTTTCTTTGTACATGTTTGGCAAATTTTCAGATTTGTAATTACTTTAACTTTTATGTTTTTTCGTTGTAGCACAAGGTGTCATTCATCTGAAACATTGAACTTGAACTTAATTGTTCCATCAGGTACATACTGCAAAGCTGTAACACATAGGTTACCAACAACTTTGCCTGGTCTAATGCTTTTAAAGAATATATGAGCCTCAAAATTCATGAAATATGTGTGACCTAAATATTCGACATTGTACTCAGCTGGATTTTCCCTGGCTTGTCTACAAACATTCATGTAATCGGCTGGAATATTTATTTTTACGTTTTTGAGCCTTCACTCAATCAAAGAGTGCACTGAATCACCCTCCATTTGGGTATGACCCACTTCCAAGTAGTTTTGTTTCACAGTAGCAAAGCGTAGGCCACAGTTGCGCATCTATTCTGGTACGCATATCCTACACTGTACATAATTATTGTGGTCTTTCCTTCTGACAGAGGGAGTTGTGACTGCAAAAACTTGTTCTAAACTCATTTGATGCAACCTCAGTTTCGTTCCAAAGATAACTAAACCCTTCATGAGTACCTAAGTTGTAGATTGTAAAATTGTTTGTGGCAAGTTTCATTTTATAGTACAGCGTCGACACGTTTGACCTAGGACACAGCAACAGGGCTTGTAAGTCCATTGCATCAGTTAAAAAGTCGTTTCTCGTTTCATCTACTTCTTTCTCTAGCCTAGCTTCTTCTTTTCTTAAAATATGTGCTTCATAGTTTTCTTTACTCATGTTTCCTGTTTTAAATGATTCACACTTATCACAGGCATCTTTTTTTGGCTCAAAACAAAGCTAAGATTTGGTCTTCAAACAATTGATCGAATTTACATTGAGAAAGAGAATCTAAATTTGTCTGAGAACACCAATCATTTTTATACAAATAAAGCTATCTCTTAGATTTCCAGTTAGACCTCCAATATATTTTACTTGTACTTTTACGGCAATAATGAGACTCGACATTGGGTAAAGTACGAAAAAACTCTTGCAATACTTCAACTTGTGACTTCCTAAGTTTCTTACGTTTTGGCTCTATTATCCCATTCATGTTATTCTCATCAATCTCATTCACAGTTTCTTCATTTTTTAAATCGTTTTCTTTACCTTGCCAGTGGAATGTCATCCATTCCCCAATCTATAATATGTTTTGGAACATTGTTTTGCATACATTAGTCCCTGATTTTTTCAAGTAATAAAAGAATATTTTCTCCTGCTTTTTGAATTACCTTTTCGACCTCTGGCTCTTGCTATTTCAGTTTTGTGTATCAAAAATTTTACAAATACCCTTTTCCCCTGTCAGTCAAGCTTCCAAAACTCATCAAACATTTTTCGTTTCATTTTGAGTCAATGACGCACACTGCAACAAACTTTTTTCTGCTCTTTTACATTTACAACGTATTTTCATTTTCCTGGCATTTCTCATGATACCATATTCATACTGTCTTTCATAATTTTTTCTTTCAGTCTTCCTCGCTTTTTCCATTTATTTATCTTCCAATTAACCATCTTTACCTGATGGTGTTTCTTTCATTTTCAACTAGTTGTAGTCATATTATTTACATTGTCAATATGTGAAGATCAACTTCTACAAGCACATTGTCATCGGCTTTAGGTATTTTTCTTGCACAGGAATGTCAACATGATTTTCAGCTAGGTTTGTGTCATCTTCCGGGAGGTTTGTTGCTCAGGAACGGCATCAGACTTTGTAATTTGACCTTAGTCATCATTAACTGTGTCTAAGGCAAATTATGGTACCTATATGTCTCCAAAATCTGGGTAAGAGGACAAAAAATTATTTTCTTTGTCAGCGAGTACATCTGACAAATTTACTCAAGACACATTGTAATTGTGATTTACAATCTGATGAGCTTGTTTAACAGGCGTTCTAACGCTGTTTACTGTAGAGGACTCGCTACAATTTTCGTCAATGTTGGCAACAAACGTCAAACGTTGAACGGCGTATGAACGCAAAGCCAAGTCCACTAATTTCTGCCTCTTGACATTCTGAAAAAAAAAACCGATGGCTTTTTGTATTGTAGTTATGAAAACCAATCTCGCGACATATTTAAGCTGTTTTCAGTACCAGAAGGCCTTAACAGCTTGTTAAAGTTAAAACACAATTAATAATTTAGAAAGTGGATTTTTTAGATTTGTTTGTAGCGTTTAGTAAAAGAGATCGAATAAACTTTTTCAATCAATCAATATATTTATTGTTTCCAGAATTATACAAATTCATAACAAGAGTACAATATACTTAAATAGAAAAAAAAAAAGAAACAAAAAAAATTATACTAAAAATTATAAGTTAAATACAAAAAAAATTACATTTCTGTTAAAGAAATGCACTTACTTAATAGATACGTGTATCATCATTCATTCAAATAGAAAGTCCGAAATTTTCATATTTCATAAAATAGGACCTAAATAGTAAGATAAACGATAAAATAAACTCCACAATAGATCAAACATAACCTCAAAACTGAAAACATGCTAACCTCTTAACTCCATAATAACAATACTTAATACAACACAGTTTTAAGCTTTCAAACAGTAAACATTGCAGTATAAGTAAATTAAAAAATATTTCTGAGTACTTACATTTCAAATAGTTCATTTGTAAGGAAAAGTAGGAAATTATCACTGAACTGTTAAAATAATAAAATGTCTTCAACTGTAATAATATATAACAATGTGATGGTGGGAGAGGTTTTCCGGGTTTTCCTCACCTGTAAGTCAAATGGCACCATCAATCATCTTTAAGTCCCCCCGGAGCGCCACGGCAACTAATAATAATGGCTGTCCCTTCCCCTACACAAGTCGTTCAGTCAACTTCAGGGGTTACCAGGTCTGGCAATTAAGAAAATGAACCACAGGAGTTAAGAGGTTTGCTATATGTTAAATATATATTCTGGATTTATGAGGTTTGAAACATGTAATGGAGGTTTTTCTCTACAAGTTTGCATGAAAATGTGAATTTGACAAATAGTCGAGTTACGAGGTTTGCTAAATAGGGTAACGATATACCAAATCTTCCCACTAGCAGTTCATTTGTTTGGGGTGCCTTATATTGTCAGTTTAGAAGATAAAAAAATGTTTTAGTACTTATATGTCAGTAATTATTTATGATTTAATCATTTAATTATTTACAGAAAATACTGTTGGATGATCTAAAACAGTATTTCCCAAAGTGGTCCAGGTGGACCCCCAGGGGTCCACGGGAGACTCGACGGGGGTCTACGTTGGGCGTAATAAAAAAATGGGGGTCCACAATCGTAAGCGGGGGAGCATGAACATTAATTTGGTTTCGATAGTGAAGCAATATACTATTAAACAATTGATTACTCATTTTTCCATGTGATGAAGAAATTCTTGTAAAAAACTTCAACTGTTTATAATATAAACAGTCAACATTTTAGTTACTAAAATGTTGACTTGACTTCTCTTATCAATATAGGCACATAATATTTTAAGAAGCTCAGCGACTTTTACTTGTAAAAACTTGCATATTCTATATTCAGTACAACGCGTCGAGACTTGTCGTTGCCGCGCCGGCCGCCGTTCCGTCCGCAACGCTTATGCAGACGTGCAAATTAATACAACTTGCATGAACGTGTTTGATTCTTCACCAATATAAATACAAATGTCAAGGATAATCGTTACTCATTTGTTTCTGGAATTTCATAAAGAAAAGTGAATCGATATTAGTGTTGGCCAGTGACTGAATTTGTTTCCAGACTTTCAAACAGAAAAGTAAAGTGAATCGATATTAGTGTTGGCCAGTGACTGAATTTGTTTCCAGACTTTCGAAAAGAAAAGTAAAGTGAATCGATATTAGTGATTGCCACTATCGGAAAAAAATATATTAAAATATAAATAAATGAAATAATAATTTTATATCACATTAAAATAAGTTCAGCCGTTTTCATAAAACTCTATTATGGATCTAAGCGATTTATTGCTCTTAATAATTAGAAATAGTTTGCAGCCGGAACTTTGTTTATTTCATAATATTTATAATAATTGATTAATCATATTATGTTAAAATAGCCATATCCTGTTAGGTTCGAATCACCTTAAGATTACTAAAACAAAGTTTTTATTTATTTATTTATTTATTTACTTACACATTTACAGGTAGGTAATTGATACAAAAAATAATAATAATAATAATAATAATAAACCGTCTTTATTGATAATTTTTCAAAATATTACAAAAATTTTAGCAATGGAGCGAGATTTAGCCATAGGCTATTCTTCCATCTAACTCCTCTTAATTTAAAACAGAAAGTATTAAGATATATTAAAATGTTAAAATGTTTAAATGTTAAAATACAATACACAAATAAGGTTAAAACAGTAGAAAACATAAAAACAATAATAAAAGTAGTAGAATTAAAATAAATTTAAATTTTAAATATAGGAAAAAACAAACGTATTAATTGTTGGCTTGCTGTTGGAGTAGGAGTTTTTTTAGTTTGTGTTTAAAACTTGATCGAGAATAAGTATTTTTTAGCTCATCGTCTAGTTCATTATAAAGTTTAATGGCATTGTACGTAAAACTTCTAGCAAAAATAGCAGATGTGTGTTGTGGCATTGTTAGTGTAAATTGTCTGCGGATATTTACATTGTGAATCTGATTACGAGAAATTAATTTAGTTGCCAAATATGGTGGATTTTGAGATTTTAGTATATTGTGGACAAAAGAGAGAAGATGATATTTAAATAAGTTTTTGATGTTTAACCATTGCAGCTGCCTAAAATATGTTGAAATGTGATCATATTTGCGCAACCCATAAATAAAGCGACAGCAGGTATTTTGAATTTTTTGCAGTCTGTTCGAAGTTACTAAATCTAAACAAGAATAGTAAATTACTATGCAATATAATATTTTACTCAATATTAGAGTTTCGCAAAGGTCTTTTTTCATTTGTTGTGACAATATATACTTATTGGCAAATAATAATTTTAATGTTAAATAACACTGAGAAGAGAGGTTATTCACATATTCAATAAACCGCATGTTCTCATCTAAAAGTAAGCCTAGACTTCTAGCTACATTTACACATGGGACTGTATCGTCATCAATTTTAATTGACATATTACTTTTTATGCTTGAACGTGAGTTGGTATTCGAAAATAAAATTAACTTAGATTTAGAAGCATTCAAATGCAAGTTATGGTTTACAGAATATGTGTTTATTCGTGATAAATCAGCGTTCATTATATTCTGTGCTGCATTAGAGTTATTATCATCAAAAGTGTGATGTAATTGAGTATCATCAGCAAAAAATTGGACCTTGCACGTTTTTATTTGTTTGTTTAAATCAGACGTATAAATAAGGAATAGCAAAGGCCCTAGAATGGAACCCTGCGGAACTCCAGATTGAATTGATAGGAAACTTGATGATTGACTATTTAGTAAAACTTTTTGCGAACGATTATTAAGATATGTTTTTATAAAAGAAAGTGGCTTTTCAGAAAAACCATAATAATTGCATTTAGAAATTAATAAAAGGTGATTTAAAGTATCAAACGCTTTAGTATAGTCAAGTAACACTAGGGCTGTGGCTTGTTTTTGATCCAATCCCGACATTACTGAGTCCGTTAAGTGGCAGAGAGCAGTGGTGGTACTGTGCCCTTTTCGAAATCCTGATTGGTGCAATGGAAGTATATTATTAGATGAAAAGAATTCATAGATTTGCTCATACACTATTCTCTCCAAAACTTTAGAGAGA